TAGCCCTTCTTATTGAGATGTGCACTGGTGACGGTTGCTTGTATCCCAGACCTTCACGTGTTGCCTCGTTGCAGCTTCTGATGGGAGCTTCCCTAACTTTGACGGCTCATTGGGATTGTATCCAGCTTTTGCAAATAGTTTGTAAGCGTTAGGATCAAAACCTTCATCTATTCGTTTTGTAGGGAGTGCCACATTCTGCAAACGATTTTGGGCTACAAACCCTGCAAGCGGCTTTGAGGACAACTTTACTGCCTCAATTCGTTTTACCGGAAGAGTTAACTCCCTTAGCGTCTTGGTTTGGAGATTATGTGATTCGCCCTCGTCTTTCTTCCTTTTAGGGACATATTGGAGCGCGGGACTTACTTTCTTTCCATAAGACGCAAAACCCCCTTTATGAGATTTATTCACGTTGGCGGGTACCTCCTCAGTAACAGTTTTGGCTTTGCTAATAGTCACATCAGCTCTTTTAGTTATGGGTTCGTCATTCTTGCTTTTCGTACCATCATCAACTTTAAGCTCCTTCACAATGCGGTTCTTCAAGTAGAACTTTGCATCGGCGAAGTGTGACTCAGCCTCGATGAATGGCTCATCATCAGCAACTACCGTCTTCTCGACTTCACCCTTTAAACATTGATGGTAGGTAGATGGAACAACTTTATTCTCATGTATCCAAGGCCTCCCAAGCAAAACATTGTATGAAGTCTTCGCGTCGATCACATGCATCCATGCACTTGATTGCATATCTTCAATAGTGATTCCCAGCCTGACGCGCCTATGGCTCTTTGCCCCCCTTGGTTGAATCCTTGGATCATCACACGACTTTCTGAGAGTTCGTTCATGGGAATACCAAGTTCTTTCACAGTATGGATTGGCAAAATGTTCACTGAGGATCCTCCATCAACCAAAATCCGGTTTACCCTTTCATCGCGCATATAGCCAACCAGGTACAATGGGCGGTATGAGGAGTGTCACCTAGTAAAAGATCGTCATTTGTGAACGTGACCTTTTTCTCACAAGCATTAACTTCTTGAGGAGTGGAATCGATGGGCTTTTCCGAAGATGGTGCCAACGGTAGGTCATCACTCTTTTCTTCCCCTTTGTCAGCATGGCAACAAGAGGCATCAATGCCCTCATGGGAAATCTTCGTGCGGAACCAACTTGGTAAAAATTCCTCCAAGGTCACTGGATTTCGTGGCTTTTGAGGGTGGTGCATCTCCACTTTTGCTTTCTTCAAATGCCTAACTGGATTCTTTTTTATTGGTCTTTTTACCATCATCTTCCTTGTTGGTTGTTCCACTGATTCCTTTCGTAGGCTCCTATTGTGGCGCATACGACGAGTCACCAACGTCCAACCTTCATCATCATCAGGTTGGTTGACTTCAGCTTTGTCTCTCTCCAGTAATTCTTCATTTTTACTTTCTTTAAAACCACATAATTCATCCGGACTGAATGAGCCAAAGGTGATAGAGACTTGGTTTGCGCTTGCTTTCTCATCTTCAAGCACTATCTTCTTTTCGCGAGCCAAGTCCATGACTTTATCCTTGAAGACAAAGCACTTCTCTAGAGGGTGGCTTACAAGTCGGTGATATTTGCAGTAGTTTGGGTCATTTGTTTTCCCAGCTTCATTTGGTCGCTTCATCTCTGGAAGCTCGATGAGATTTAACTCGGGGAGTTCTTCGAAAATGGCTGGCACATCAGAATCCAGGAATGGGTACTCTTTCTCCTGCATCTCTTTTAGAGTCAACTTTCCACTTGGCTTGTCTTGAAAAGAAGTGGATTTCATACTCTGCTTCTTGCTCACCTTCGTCGTGAACTTCATAGGTGACGTATTGACATTCATAGCTTCTTTGCTTTCAGACTTGGGTACGAACTTGCCCCACTTCCTGACTTCTTGCTTGTCATTTGCTTTGCGAGGTTCATAGATGGGCAGCCTTTCATTTCCAGCGGAGGCCATGCTCAATTCCATGTCATGGGCACGAGTTCCAAGTTCTTCAAATGTGCTAGGCTTGATACCTTGCAAGATGTAGCGCAATCCCCAATGCATGCTTTGGATGCACATCTCTATGCCTGAAGCTTCACTAAGTCTGTCTTTGTAGTTGAGGCTTGCATTCCTCCAGCGATTGATAAAGTCGATAACTGGTTCCCCCTTTCGTTGACGAGTATTTGTAAGCTCTATCATACTCACCGTGCGTCTTGTGCTATAAAAGCGATTGAGGAATTCTTGCTCTAGTTGATCCCAGCTGTCGATAGATCCAGCCTCGAGGTCCGTGTACCAGTCAAAAGCATTTCCTTTTAGCGAGCGGACAAACTGCTTGATGAGGTAATCTCCATAAGTCCCAGCATTGTTGCACGTCTCCACGAAGTGCGCAACATGTTGCTTCGGGTTACCTTTACCATCAAACTGTTGAAACTTCGGAGGTTGATAGCTAGCAGGCATCTTCAACATATCGACCCTTGCAGTGTACGGCTTTGCATATGTAAGGGAGGATTTGGCAGCAACTTCATATTTGTTCTTAATGGTTCCTTCGATGAACTCCTTCAGTTGATCGATTGGAATCATCCCTTCAGATGGGACAGGGATAGCCTTAGTGGATGCTGCTTGTCTTGGGGGAGAGTCACTCTCTAGAACTTCTGGGAGCTTGCCGGGTGCATGGGTAGATTCTTCTTCCATCAAGATTCCCACCCTATCTGTTAGCTTGTCAATTCTAGCCTCTTGATTTTGCATGCATTTGGTCAAGCCAGCGATTGCTTCCGTCAAGTTTGCCAACTGCTCCTCCATGGATGAAGTGTTTGTCACCATGGCTTGCATGATTGTCGTGGATGACGGAGAGTAGCATGGATTTTCACACAGATTGATCCTTGATTGGCTCACGCTATGTGGTGTAAGTGGGGAGGACCCATCACTTGAAGCATCATCATCTTCCTTCACAGCAGAGTGCTTGGAGCCGGAGAGGTCAAGAGGTCAAGCAGAGCAAGAGTTTTCTTGATCTTTTCAGCAACATCGCTTCCTCCTTCAGATGCTTTTGTGGCAGATCTTACTCCTTTTGAGGATGAAGATCCGAAAACAGGGGTTGATGCGGACGGCACTTGGGGTGCTTGTTGTCCTAAAGAGCTTGCTTTGCTCCTCGTAACTGGTCCGAAGCTTGCAAAGGTGACATCGAGGATGCTTTCCACATCAGCATAGAACCTGGAGTTAGCAGCCTTGGTGGAAGTTGAAACGGATTTGATTTTCTTTGAAGCCATTTCAATGTTCTTGAACTTTGGTGATTGAAAAGTTGAGATGAGAGGTAGAGATTGTCCCACTGGGCGTACCCAGAATTTGTAGACAATAAATTTGCGTCAAGAAAATAAAATCAAGACCGAAAATATCGCAACAATCGTAGTATTTTATTTCAAATATTTGAGTGTTACAATCTCTATGATTCCTCTGATTCTCTTTTCCAATGGTAAATAAATTCAAGGGCCTTGGAGCTTGATCTTGAACCTATATTTGTTTCCACGAACGATGATCTTGTTCTTGAGCTTGAGCTTGAGCTTGATTGCTTGAACTTGATCTTGATTCGTTCTTCGTTCTTGAGCTTGAACTTATTTTTGAACTTGAACTTGATTGCTTGAAGCTTGAAACTTGTGGAGGAATTTGCGGTGTTTGATCCACGAGCTCTTTCTTGCTTCTTGTTATAACTTCTGGTGTCTTTTCTGAGTTATGAAGACCCCTATAGTTGTGGAAGGGAGGAGTTGTGATAAGAACAAACTCTTTCCGACCAATCAAATTGAAGTGTGACATGGCCGCATTTGATTGGCCAGAACATGTCACTTGCACACGTGGCGCGATTTCATTGGCCTTTTAGTATGATTGGGCATGCCTTGTCATTTTGACATGTGGCATGGTCCTATTGGCTCTTTCGTTTGACTTGGCGCGCCACGTCATTTGACACGTGGCACCAAACTGGGCCTCTAGGAAGATGTCATCTTGGGCCTAATGAATTGGGCTCATCACTTTAGCCCAATTAAATGGGCTAGCCCAACGGATTATGACTTATTTATTTAATCCATATATATTGGACTTATATTATTAATTCAATTATATTAGCCCATATATTTATTTGGACCAATATATCTCGAATTTAAAATATAGTCCAAATTATTTTGTGGATTTAATTTTAATAAAATTTACATGCCTACAATTATATTATATATTCGCTTCAAAAATAATAGCCGAAAAAATATATAAAATTTATATATTTTTTTGCATATTTATACCTTCTATATGTTTTATACAAAAATTATATAAATTTTATACATTTTTTTTAGCGCGGACTAAAAGTGATAATATTCCTAATTTTTTTATTCATTATTCGCGTAACATTGTTTGATCGAAGATGAAATTTAAGGTGTTAACCACTTACTATATATTAGTAATGATGGAAGAGAATATTAACTAGTGATTGACAAGAAAGCAAACAACATATTAAAATTAAAGTGTAATAGTTTAATTAATTTTTTTTTAAATTGTGAAATTTGTACAAAATTATTTCATTTTGAACCCATCTCGTCATAAGTGCAAAGGATTCATTGATAAAAACTTCTAGGCCGAACCCAAAACAACAACACCAAGCACTAAAATTTCACAAGTTAGGTCTGAGGAGGGTAATCTGTACGCAGACGTTACCCCTAACCTGATGGAGCAGAAAGATTGTTTTCGATAGAACATCGGCTCAGAAAGACGGAAAGAAAACAAGAAGAGACAATATCTCAGTACCGTCAACAGAAACCATAGAAATAGTAACTACATCATAAAAACCAGAAAATACATGACATGCACTTCTAGGCCGAACCCGTCAAATTAAAATCATATTTTTCACTCAATTTCGAGCGTGTAAAACCCGAAAAAGAGTGAAGAAATATCAAGAAAAACCCTCTAAAGTTCCAAACTTTTTCAAGTTTTTGCCTATAAAAACATGTTGCATACTCCACATTACTCATCCAATTGAAAAATATAGGCTCTTCCCATTGAGCATTAAGGTATGTTTACTTTTCATTCTAGCATTCTTGCTTCTCTTAACCAGCAAAGCAAAAGCTGGAGATATTGTAGTCTATTGGGGCCAAGATGTAGGAGAAGGTAAATTGATTGACACATGCAACTCTGGTCTCTACAATATTGTCAACATTGCCTTTTTATCTTCTTTTGGCAATTTCCAAACTCCTAAACTTAACTTAGCTGGCCATTGTGAACCATCATCTGGTGGTTGCCAAAAGTTGACAAACAGCATCAGACATTGTCAAAGCATAGGAATTAAAATCATGCTCTCCATTATTGGAGGTGCAACTCCTAAGTCCTACCTACACATTATCCTCAGTTGATGATGCTAGACAAGTTGCTGATTACCTTTGGAACAATTTTCTCGGCGGCCAATCATCTTTTAGGCCCCTTGGAGATGCTGTATTAGATGGCATAGATTTTGATATTGAACTAGGCCAACCACATTATATTGCACTTGCCAAGAGACTTTCAGAACATGGCCAACAAGGTATGTCACACACTTTTCTTAAAGCCAAATCACAGAGGCGAAGTCAGGATTTGAAACCTATGAATTCAGTTCTAAATTAATAATTTATGGATAAATTTTTAAGATAAATATAGGATTTGGACAAAAGTTACTGGGTTCAGCCGAACCCATATCCAAAGGGCTAGTTCCGCTGCTGAAGCAAAAGAATGGATATCATGATGTGTTGTTGAATATCATGGTTCCCATTGTAGAATAACCAAGAATTGCAGTATCCCATGTTAACCAAGCCCAAAGAAAATAATTGTAATTTGGTTGTTGAATAGGTAAACGTAGCACTTTGGTTAAGTGGTAAGGACATAACACATGATGCATTGGTTAGAAGAACGTAAAGGTTTGAAAGCCCGGCCACAGATAAACTTGGTTAATAAGTTGGAAGAAGGGTTAGCTATTTTCGTTATTACTTTCCGAGTCCGGGGGACTATTGCTCTAGAATCTATTAATAGAATTAAGGTTAAAGAAGACTCCTAGAGAGTTACCAAAATGCGAAGTTCTCTTCTCCTTTCTTTTTGATACTTGGTTGGCAGGGTCAGCACCTTTCTCGTTGGGCGAGTGCATCCGATTCTAAAGTCCTTTCTTATTCTTAAAACACTTCTCGTTCAGTTGTTGAAAGATAGAGATCAGGCTTTCTAAATGAGATTGAGTTCCGAATATGCAGGCTAGAAAGATGCTATTTGCTGCTATTCTATCTATTTACGCATCAAGTTCGAAGAAGATCTCTGTTTATAATGAAGAAATGATAGTAGCTCTATGTTTTATAAGCTTTATCGCTCATACTCCTCCGAGTTCAAACCCTGTGAGCCAACTGATGTCGGGCCAGAAGCGTGCAGGGAATTTCTCCAGAAGAAATGTTCTCTGATATAAAAAAAATAAAAAATAAAAAATAAAAAGAATGTGATTTGAACTTGTGCACGAACTAGTATCGCGCGAGAAGTCCACGAGGGATTTCTCCAACATGAAATGAAAATGTCATTAAACATCAATTCTAGATTTTCAAGCCATTAGATTGGCAAAACTCATTCACTTACTATGTTTTTGACAGGTAAAAAAATATACTTAACTGCAGCACCACAATGTCCTTTTCCTGATAAACTTGTTAATGGTGCATTGCAAACTGGCTTATTTGACTATGTTTGGGTCCAATTTTACAACAATCCTGAGTGCGAGTTCATGAGCAATTCAGAAAATTTCAAGAGGAGGTGGAATCAGTGGACATCAATCCCTGCAAAGAAGTTGTATATTGGACTTCCAGCAGCTAAGGCAGCCGCGGGTAGTGGCTATATACCAAAGCAAGTGCTAATGTCACAAGTTTTACCATTTCTTAAAGGGTCTCCAAAGTATGGAGGTGTCATGCTTTGGAATAGAAAATTTGATGTCCAAAGTGGCTATAGCTCTGCTATCAGGGGTGCTGTTTAAGTTCTGAATAAACGGGGCGCCCCTGGATCGCTCTAAGCCATCTTTAAGGCCTAAATAAAGCAAGTAAATTTCCTGTTATCTGCCTTGAAAGTACATGTAAGAGTTATAATTTGTACTGATGAAAATGTGAAGGTCGTCTTATTTACTTCTTGATAATAGTAGTATCTATGGTTCTTTTATATTCTCTTGTTTATGAAGCCTGACTTCGATGGATTTTGAACTATAGTCAGACCTCTCTATAACAGTTATCTTTTATAATAGTACTTCACTATAATGGCCAAGTTTTCGTTGGAACCAATTTTTCATGTTATGTTTCTTATAATAGCACTTTATCATAGTAGGCAAAAAATTATCGGAAACGAGGCTGTCATAGAGAGGTTTGACTGTACTTCAGTCAAATAAAGGAACTTTAGAGGTTTCTTGATAATAGTATGAAGCCTGATTTCGAATTTGAACTATTGGAGTCATGTTAACCAGCAAATAGAGAACAAAGTAGGGACTTTTCTTTTCATTTCAATTCTCATATGTAAAAGTTATTTAGAGAAGAACCAAGGCAAAGAATAATGGTATAACTGGATTTAATTTTATACTATTGTTAGCTCTTTGGACTAATAAGTTATATTCTGTATAGGAAAGATTGAGAACAATTTTCCTTCCGTGCAACAGTAATATATCAATAATGGAGCGTGAATTATTCATTCTTACATTTGGAAAAGTTGACAGACAACAAATATTGACTTCAAGTCAAGCAATGACAGTACACAGATTCAATAGACTCAAAATACATTTTTTTAATCCTGAGTTGCGTTGCGTAATTGGTAAAGTTACTGACATGTGTGGAAACAGCCTCTTGCAGAAATGGATGGTAAGGTTGCGTACAATAGACCCTTGTAGTCGGGGACCTTTCCAGGACCCCGCACATAACGGCAGCTTCGTGCACTGGGCTTCCCCCGCGTTTAACTTTAAGAGCTCGTTGGTGCGTCAAATATCATATTAGTATTTTCAAATAATGAACTTCACTATCTGCAAATAAAGAAAGTATCGTTCTTTTTGGGAAAAATTTAAAAAGAAAGTGAATCGCATGAAATTGAGTACTAATTTTCTTTAAGTTGCACAGTGGAAAACCTTGTAACAATGTTGTAGGCATACAGGATTACGAAAAAGTTTGTTTTTTAGATCCGATCACAATTCACAGACATGAGATAATATAGAACAGTATAGTTCTACTCCATAATTTGCTAACTGTAGAAAATTCATGTTTAATCAGCATTGTCAAGTCATGATAAACACAACCATATATTAGGTGCCTCTGGTGTAAGGCTTCAACTTCAACTTGAAATAGAGAATTTGAAGTTGAAAAAACTGGTTTGAGGAATATTTCAACTAAAATAATTGTTTCACTCACAAAATTTTATAACTTTTTTTTCCAAGTGAATTCCATGCAAAACACAACTTCAACTTCCAAATACTCCATCAAACTTAAACTTCAAATACTCATTTTTTTCAACTTCAATCAAATATTGTGCAAACACCTAGTTGTATAATCTTCAAGCTCAACCTACTACCAATGAAATATCTTCTGGGAAAGAAAATGATTGCAGGACAAAGGCGGACACATAATTTTTACACGACGGGGGCACATTATTCTGCTCAACTAGTGCCCTTAAAGGCTTTTAGTGTTCAGAGTGCCAACTACTTTAAATTAACCATTTTCAAGGTATATATATATATATATATATATATATATATATATATATATATATATATAGGATTTCATCCGAAGTTTACGAGGTCCGGTGACCCCTCACCCATACACGTGGATCCACCTCTGTTGCAGGATGCCATAGAGTTCTAAACAAGAAATGTCAAAATAGCGTCAGAACAAATAGCAGAACTGTAAATTCTCCAAAACTATTTTTTGTGTTGGATATCACAACTTCTATGCAAGGAATTATTTCATTACAAGTTGTGGAGAACATATATACAGCCAGAAAATAACTGCAAACTCAGTAGTAAGATATACTGTACAAAAATTTACAGCTGTAAAATTTTCAAACTCAAGCCAGTAGCAGGAGTTCAGATGAGAATTAGAACCCGGAGAGACTAGAGTGAACTCCAGATACATTGAGCTGACCCTGAAAGTTCTGTATAATATATATGTATAAATATGTAGAGCACAGGTGCAAGTCTGGAAACCAGCGCCAAGATTCATCAAAACTTTTAGCACTTTGTCACAATGCTATTTTTGCTGTGATTCTTCCTCCTCATCTCTTTTAACAGAGGCTAAAATTGAACCCAGGTGATGTCTGAACTCTGCAAATTTCACCACTGGCATAGTGTTATCCAAGGAATAGAACGAGATCTCAAAGAAAGTCGGCTTTGGTGTGGAGGGACAGCCAATATATCCAATTAATTCCTGCACAGCGAGCACATGGAACTTTGGGGGTCCATTCAGTGCAATGTTGTGAACACGGTGCTCATAAATCTTCCCATCTTTGTCTAGTTTATACTCTGAAGTGCCATCGAATCGACCACGACTCTCCCATGGAACACGGGTAATACCATGAACAGTCCATCGAACCATTATCATGCCTTCTACAGGCTGCCATACACTAACAATATCTATCCACAAAGCCCTAAAGAACATCCTGCCATGGAATCGTAAAGCCCAAAAGATCGATTTATAGTTCTCAATGCCAGTAAAAGTATTGAGGGGATCTTTAAAGACTATATCATCCCTGTAGAGAAAGAAGAAAACCATCAACAACTAGAAATATTATATCACAATAATCTATGTTGCGCGGACTCTCCAAAATGATGCCACCTCTGTCGGGTCCTCCAAAAATAGTATATTTTTGGAGGATCCGACACGCACCCGGCAACATTTTCGGAGAGTCCGAGCAACATAGACAATAATAACTCAAAATAACAGCAATGACAATTGTGTCTCCTGGAGCAAAGGAAAGCACGAGCAATCAGAAGCACAAGCAAAGGAGAACCACTTGCATAGAGCTTTGCAAACACTTTAGAGAACACAACCTATATGCTAAATTCTCTAACTGTGAGTTTTAGCTCGACGTGATGGCATTCTTAGGCCATATGAATCCTTTATGTTCATTCCGCTTTTTTTGAGCTTGTTTCATTCCCGTACTAAATATTTGTCTTGATTATCTAAAACTAGAGGATCCCCAATCTCACCTTATTCCTAGATTGACATACAAACCACTAGACAAACTGAATAGAGTCCCGTACAAATACTGGACCTAATATAAGTGTGCGGATACAGCTAAATCTATATACAAACTAGTTGGTATCACAGATATGGATCTTTTGCTTTTATTATGTTCTGTTGTTCGTTAAATTCACATGGAATTCCCCATCTATCCAAGCCTCGGTGGATAGAGTTACCTGGTAACTGTTGTTGGTGAAAGGTAAGGTATCCCGTGGAATTAGTCGAGGTACGCGTAAGCTGGCCCGAACACCATAGTTATCAAAAAAAATCACATGGACTTCGAGTGATTGTAAGTGTTAAGAAGCAACTTATCTCTATGTGATTTTAGGTTTACCTCGTCCATTTACATATGTGAGGTCAAAATTTAACCTACTACAATAATATCAGACTTCCATTAAATCTCAACTAACAAAGCTAGAGCAACAACAGTTACATGTACAAGCAATTGACGTAGCATCAAGGTACAGAAAGATTGACATAATACGACAAAGAAAAAAGAAATTACTTCTGGAGATCAACTAAAAGAATGAATTCAATTAGTAATGCTTTAACATTTCTATATTTTTTAATGAAAAGCTTTTACAGCCACAAATATGTTAAAGACTACAACTTTCAAAAGTGTTATAACGATACAAATGTTATGTCATATTTAGCTCCGTAAATTTAAAAAGACTATTTTTTTCTTAAACAAATTATGCCAAACAAATGGAAACAAAAGGGATTAGCTGATTAGAATATTTTCTAAAGAGAATACTAACCTGTAGATATCAAAGTTTAGCTCTTTATAGAAAAGCGCTGGAAACTCTTCTCTGAGAATCCGAATAGCGTAACCCGTATTCAGATAGTAATTCCGCTTCTGTTCTTCCTCCTTATCCAGTTTCGTAGATGACATCGTATTAACCTTCAACGGCGCACTAACGACTCCGTTTCCGCCGTTTGGAATAGCGAGTTTACTTACATTTCTAAGGTTTATACCGGAAAATATCCTGGACGGACGGCGACCGGCGGAGAACGAGGAAACGTCCGGCGACGGTAAGAGACTGGCCATGTAACGTCAAAATTAGGGAATTGAGAAACTGGAAGTGAACATTTTAGTAAAAAAATTGTATGCGAATATTCGAGAGAGAGGGGATTTTGTTTGGTTACTGAAAAATCTTATCGGAAAATGACGAGACAGAGCGCGCGGGTTGGGGTGGGGGGGGGGGTTTGTTCTGAGAGTTGAGAGGGAGGGAAATAAAGGAGGGAATTTGGATAAGTTTTTGTTTGGATTGGATAATTGAAATTATGGGTTCCAATTGGTGGATGAAATTGAAACATGGAACAGTCAAATGTCTAATCAACATTATTGTAGGACTCATTTGAAATTTTCAGTTTTTCACATTTTTTTTTTCCCTAATTTGTTTTCCTGAATAATATTTTTACTATAATATTTAATGGTAAATATAAATTGGAACAGTCTTTTACGGATAGATTTTTACATTTTCGACAAATCACTTAGACAGTGTTTGGATGGATTTTTGCTTTTTGGCTTAAGTTGAAACAAAAAAAATCATGAAGAATGTAAACAGTAGCTAAATGTTGCTAGTACTATGGGTCATTTGGTTACAAGGATAAGGGATAATAAATCCGGAATTATATGTGGGAATATAATTCTCACATTATAATTCCAACACATCTAGCGCGCAAACAAACGACCCCTAACTAAAATATATATTTTATGGGTTATTATCCAAATTTACATCACAAAGAAATTTTTAATGAATCACTGATGCTATAACTAACAACAACAACAACAACAACAACATATTATAATTAAGAACAACAATAAAATAATAAACTTAGGGTCAGTTTAGAAAGCCACCGGGTAACTGGAATTGATGCAATTACTAGGGC